ATTGGGGCTTTTCAGTGATCGATTACATCAAGTACTATGATTACGTATGTTAGCCTAGACTATTTATCTTTACAACAATGAGGATATGATATTACTTTCCTAACTGTGTTTATCCTAACCCACCCTGCCAATTTTGCCCTGTGGGAGGAAAGCGGAGCAAAATATAGAATTCAATTCCTTTGAAAACACCTAAATTGCAATCCCTAAAATTTAAATTTTTTCTTAAATCGCCTAAAATCGCACTAAATCGCAGTGCTTGAAAGTCTCAGTTTTTCCTTAAATCGCCTAAAATCGCCCAAAATCGCATTATTTCGCAGCGATTTAAGGCGATTTACCGCCCCAGAGTAGGCCTCTCTTAGCTACCTTTACCACCATGGGATTTTAATCTATCAATCCAATTATTAATTATTGAGAATAAATATAGATGTATTAATACATCGTATCCATGATGTTTGAAAGGCATGGCTTAAAAATTGGACGGATATTCTGTAATCGCTCCGAAAAAACCCCAGTTACAAAAAACAGTTACAAAAGCAAGGAAGAGCAAGTGGTGATGTGAAGCCACAATGTGTCCTGTTCAGATTTTGACATTTCAACCAAGCAATACTGATTTTGAAATTACCAATTGCGTGCGCAAGACACACAGGGAAGGCGCATCTAATAAGAAGAGTATTCACTGAATATATTGTTTAAGGGCGCGGGTCAATGATACGTCCGACTATCAATGAGGAGTCCGACTATCACCAAAAAGAAATTGCGTCGTCGACCGACCCCGGTGATGCTTCGTGAGGTTTTAGTGGTTGAGATTCATCTTCTGCTTCGTCTTCGCAGCCATTTATAATTATATTCGTACTCGAAGGAATGACAGATGACGCCTTATTTTCATCAATCATCTTGTGTAGATTGTTTAATAGGGCGTTTTGCCCCGCGCCAAACAATTTAAGCGTTCCTGTTGTTATGTAGAAACGCACTGAGATGTCGTTGAGCTTATACGCGAAAGCATTGTGCTTCTTGTCTTCTTTCCATTCGCCTTTAGAGTCATCTTCGATGTCTAAGATAGAATTTACAAACTTTTTCAAGTCTTCTGGAGAGCTTTTCCACAAGAAAGAATCATCACTTTCACTATATTTTAGATGTTTCTTTAATAGCGACATAATAGTAAAATAGATCTATCAACAAATTATTTTATTTTACGG